CTGGCTGGATTTCTGACAAGGTCTCCCAATACGGCGACCTCTGACTTCTGGAGAAACTGGCGTCCTTGTTCTAGAAATTTTGGAGATGTGGACGAATCCCCTCAGGATTTCAAAGACGCCGCCATTGTACACAGCACAAACGAAAGGAAAACAAATGATTCATATTGAGCCAACTGTGAAAAACTCGGCGCCCCGGTGGGATTTGAACCCACGCAGTAAGGGGAAGGCTTTAGCGCAGCCAACGCTCTAACCACCTGAGCTACGAGGCCCCGCCCGACGACGCGAGTTTAATCATATTTGGGTCAAGTTACCCGCGTATTCGATCGGTGAGCGCCCCCTACCACTGTATATTCCCGATCGAAAACCGACAGGGCAACGGGCTCGTGGCCCGGTGGGTAGAGGCGTGGACTTCTAAACCAACAAGTCGTGAGTTCGAGTCTCGGGTGTTCCACACTTCGGGCTTGGGTATGGCTGGCTGACGACGGCTAATAAGCCAGAAATGGCCATTCCAGTCTCCCTTGTCTTTGTCGGTAATACCATTCTGCACATATACATATATATATACACATATATATTGTAGTGTAGAAGTGGTAGGCATTCCGAGGCGGTATAATGAAAAGGAAGGAGGTTCTTCAGAAAAAATCGAGTTGTACTCGTGAATTTTCGAATTGGTGGCACCAACCCGCCGTCAGACGAAATGAAGAGAAAAGAGAGAGTGGGACAGTCACACCAGACTAGTTATACCGAAAAATACAATGAAAACTGATATAGGAATTTCTGGTTTATCAGCCGTGGTTAGTCAGCCCTACCTAACCCCAAGTTTGCAGAAACCGGGTCCTTTGTTTACTGAGCGTTATTGACTCTAACGCTCAACCATTGATCTACGGGCCCGTTGTTCTGCCGGTTATTATCGAAAATACTAACTACGATGACAGGACGTCCAGGAATTAGGTTACGGGCAGCGTTCACCGCGTTGTGCCTTGAGACTCAGTCTGGAGCTCTCTAAGACAGTCGCATGGCTACCGACAATATAAGCTGGAAGGAATACTGGCAAAAACAAAGGAGACCGAGAGCGCTATTAATGGTTCATTAGCAATCGTCAGTCAGTCATAACCAAGCCAAGAATTGGTGTACCTTGGATTCAGACCCGGATTCTTTAGCCATTAGGCGTTATTAAGTCCACTTGTCTTGTCGGTTGCGATTCGGATATTAATAATGGTGGATGTGTGCTTACTAATCAGTTTACGGGATATGCCCGACCCGTTGGGTCTTGGTGGCTAATCTAGAGTTCTCACAAGCAGTTGGATGATTACTGGTGACTATTTAGCTGACTCCGAGGACTCGAGGTTGAGTTCCAAGTCACGGTGGGACTAAAGCAGGTAGGATGGAGACTCGTCCACATTTTCAGCACTTATCTAGTGAGGTGCTGTCCACAGTTCAATTGCGGAGGATGTGCGAGTTCGAGGCATAAGATCCAACTTTCAAGCAGGATGTGAACGAAAATATTTCCCGCTATGTTGGGTGAGGAGGTACCCAGTTAGGTTACCAAAGTCATTTGTTTTTCTTGCGTTTGTGCTGTGTACAATGGCGGCGTCTTTGAAATCCTGAGGGGATTCGTCCACATCTCCAAAATTTCTAGAACAAGGACGCCAGTTTCTCCAGAAGTCAGAGGTCGCCGTATTGGGAGACCTTGTCAGAAATCCAGCCAGTGCCCAAAGTCTTTTCAGCAGATCGTTTCCGCACATCGCTGAACGTCTTCCATAGTTTTACCAACAGACCGAGGTTCAAAATAATTTCGGCTCGTGGAAGTCTGTTGATCAAACCCCCACAAATCAAAGATGAATGTTGTTACGAATGTGTCTTTCCCAGAAATCGGAGAGCGTCTCGGGCGGTAACGGTTTTCCATTTGAGCAAGACGAGATCCGAATCTCGGCCGTTTTTTATTGCCTTAATGACATCTAGTCATCCTCAAGTAGGTGTTTGACACTCATTGTTGTGGTTAGGATCTCACTCGATCCCATTCTGTCCGCCCGCCAGCTTGGTACTGGCGTCAACGAAGGCTGTGTCATAGGACACATACCACATATAATACATAGGCAGCGTGCTAAAAGTGCAAAAGGCCAGACGCAGACATGCACTCTTAGCGAGCTGCCTATGTATTATATGTGGAATGTGTGCTATTACACAGCGTTCGTTGTCGCCAGTAGCAAGCCGGTGGGCGGACAGAATGGGATCGAGTGAGATCCTGACCACAACAGTGAGTGTCAAAGGCTTACTTGGCCTATATATATATATCAATCAGGAATGGGCGCACACCGATCTATTGGCTTCACAAAGCAAACAAGCTCCGTATGTGTGGCAAAGGTCACGAACAGGCAACCAATTGCCAGGCCGAAGTCGGCCAAGTCATAATAGCAGCGAGGAGGGACGACAG